TAATATCTTGTTGGATAAATATAACTAACAACATTTGTTAAAATAGTGGAATGGCAGGTTAACTACGGAGTTACATTGTATACTTAATATCTTGTTGGATAAATATAACTAACAACATTTGTTAAAATAGTGGAATGGCATGTTAACTATGGAGTTACATTGTATACTTGATATATTGTTAGATAAATATAACTAACAATGTTTGTTAAAATAGTGGAATGGCATGTTAACTATGGAGTTACATTGTATACTTAATATCTTGTTGGATAAATATAACTAACAATGTTTGTTAAAATAGTGGAATGGAATGTTAACTATGGAGTTACATTGTATACTTGATATATTGTTAGATAAATATAACTAACAATGTTTGTTAAAATAGTGGAATGTTATGTTAACTATGGAGTTACATTGTATACTTAATATCTTGTTGGATAAATATATATCTTACTTCATTGTGTGTTTAAACCAAATGTATGGGTGTTTAAAAATTAGTTTTTTTTGCAGTCATAATTTGGGAAATAAAATGAATCTTTTGGACAAAAAATTTTTAATTCAAACTTGCTGAGAAAAAATGCAGTATCTCAAACAGTGTATAGAATGTGTAAAAATGATCGGTTTGTAGAATCAATATTAGTAAAAAATAAGTGTCTTTCAATAGGACCGAAGGTTTTGTAACTAAAACATAACTACATATACCCCCCTTTTTTTTTTGACTTACAGCTATTTTAACCATTTCTAATCCATATTCTTAAAATTTGTAGTGATTCAGGACCTGCAATGTAAATTAGTTTTTTTGATAGTTTGAGATAAATTATGAAGTTTAATTTTTTAAATCACTTTAAAATGTAATTTGTATTTGGAAGCAATCACCAGTACAGGTTAATTAAAGTCTACAAAATGGTGATACTCTCTAGCATTAGCTATTTTCAGTCCAAAAAAACGTTATATCCACATTAATTGTACTTCCTCAAATGCAAATTAAAAAAGATAATGATAGTCTATCATCAACCCAACTTTTACAGACCCCAGTTGTCGACAAGTCCATAATATTGGCATCCATGTTTGCACATTATAATTCATAAAATCTCTGTTTGTTTTCAGTTTAGTTAATTCTTGTATTTTTGTGCATGTGTACATAATTTTAAACTGTTTAACATTTCCTGAAAATGTAGTATTTATATTTATTCATCAGCTTCGAAGCTCCCAGGGGTACTGCACAGACTCGGAGTGTTTTCAAGAGAGTAAGTACTTTATCTTTTTGTTTCATAGTAGTTTTTTTTTTTAAGACTTTAGAAAACATTTGTTTGCCATTGCCCGATCATGACGAATAAAGCGGGGTAGGTGGATGGCAATTTTTTTTATCTTAAGTACTGTTCATAGTTTCACTTTATCGGGATAATGTGTACATGATCAAGTCTCGGCACAAGTGAATAAAGGAAAAAAGCTGAATATAGTTAAACAGAAGTTTTAATGCATAACTGTTTAATCACTGTAAACGACAGCTAACAGCACACAACTTTCAACAATATCTAGACGACATGTGCTACTTCGGACAGAGAAAAGATTTCTAGTAAATGTAGTTCACTTAATACAGTGTATAACAACAGACAAAGTAAAAGATGATTTTTAGAAATAATTAATTCTAAACATTATAAAAAAGTGTATATCGTATCGTACAACTTACTTTGGACGTTTAAAAAAATATTTTTTGAAGAAAAAATAAATTCCAGGTGAGGAAACCTGCTAACAGAGTACAACAAAAACAGCAGTTTTTCAATTTCTGTTTGTTCTACATCAATACCTAGATATATATGTTGAAAGGAATATTTTAGAATACCAAAAATAATGCTTTACCGGATAGTTCTGGTAGTAAACTAATACGATACTGAGGTATGAACACAATAAGCCATTAACAACTATTCACATTATATTTGTATTTCCATGTAGAAGATCAGGAAGATTATTTTGATATTGGTTACACAAACCTTATACAATAGTGTTGATGTTTTATTCTTTCATAAAGTTCATCTCTTAGAGAGAAGAACTGGTGTCTTCAACGAAAAGTTTCAAGTCAATACTTTTATTTATTCTACCTTAAACCCTTTTTTTTTTAGTCCTTTTTTGTCTCTCATATTCAAAGAAACATAATTAGACAGTAAACCTTGATATTGATAACCAACAAATTGACACATTCTATAGATCAATTTTGAGATGAAGCTGTTATTAAAAATATTTTGACTGTTTTTTTGGTATGTGTATCAGTCTTGGAAGGACAAAAAAAAAAAAGGTGTTTTTGTTGAACTTGGTGTCAAATGATCACATGCACTGTTTAACTTCTCACTGTTAGGGTTGTTCACGTTTCCTAAGCACTGTGTATATCAGTGGGTTACATTCTACTAATGATTATGATAATTTTGTTGTAGTGTCGTCATAGTAGTCGGCAGATGTACACTTGAATAATACTAGGTTTGAACAGTGTGATATAATCAAACTGATACAGATGTTCCCGGCCATCAAGTACACATATTCTAAACATTTCTAGAACATTCTTAAAACTAGTATTATGAAGGAAATAAAATGATGGGTTTAGGGGACAATGCTCGTTAGGTAATGAGGACTCTGTTATGAAATGATGTTCAGTTACTTACAATTGTTGATCTTCAGCAAATATGATCTTGTCTCTGTGTGAACACTCTTTGTACTTGTCTTTTCAAACTTAATATTATTACATAACTTGTTTTAGTGCCTGGACCACAAGGAGCACCACCTACTGGTGGAGAGTTTAACTTCATGATGTTTCTACTGGGTTGGCTTTTGATAGCAGTGATCTTGTTCTTTCTTCGACCAAATTCTTTACGAGGAAGTAGAACTACAAAACCTTCAGGGGGTCAGGTGTGTGTAAAGTTTTTCTTGAATTAAGTAAATACACTGACAAATGAATGTGTCTCTCTCTGTGTGTAAGGTTTTATAATGAAAGGATTTTTGAATAGATTATCAAATCATACCCTTTTGATAATAATTTCAATTTTGTATATGTTGTAACAAACTAGTTCAAGTAAGTAAAGAAATGCTAATATTTATTTAGTTCTCCAAACTAAGTAAAACAGAAAGCTTACAACCGTTTAGTTGACACAAAAAGGCTTGTTGAGAGCAGATAAAAGACAAATATGCATATCAGTTTCCAAAAATATTGGAAAAAACATATATGGTGCTCGATAGGATCATTATGTGGGAGAAAAGGCAGGTCGAAGATTATACTTGATGTGGGTTTGGTTAGTCTGAGAAGGACAGGAGCATAAAATGTTGGGCAAACAAACTATTCAGTATCTAAATCTAATTACAGGTTGCAGACGATGTTCCCTTTGATTTTTTTCAATCCATGTGTGGAATGAATTCTTTTATGTGCACAAGTGTCAAGGCAAAGTGTGGATGTGTGCTACCTGTTTTTTTTTGGGGAAGGTATTTTTAGACCATTGACCTTATTGGATCATTAGGCCGCTTTTCAATGCTACCAGTTGGTTAGTTGGGCTTTAGGTCTGAACTGAGGATGTGCGTGGCTGGAATAATTAAGTATGTGGCACTTGATTGGTTGTTGTGTGATCATGCAGCTTAGAGGGAACACTGGTTGTAGTGGATAAATTTTCGTTTTTCACCTTTAATTTTACATATGTTTACAAGTGCCTCATCTGTAATATTGTTAGTTTTCGTAATGTGTTGTACTTGAAAATGATCACACTAGTGGTCAAAACATAGTATGTACTCTAAAGTACGAACATTTAAGTATCACTTTTTGGTGGCGGAAAAAACAACATACCCATTTTTTTAATAAACTGTTTAATAATTGAAGTATTACTGGCTGATCATGTAAAGCAATGAATGTCTGAATGTTCACCCAAGTTTACATGAATTTCTGTTTTAATAAACTATTTAATAATTGAAATATTAATGGCTGATATTCTAAAACAATGAATGTCTAAATCTTCACCCAGGTTTACATGAATTTCTCTGTTTTAATAAATTATTTAATAATTGAAGTATTAATGGCTGATCATGTAAAACAATGAAAGTCTGAATGTTCACCCAAGTTTACATGAATTTCTCTGTTTCAATAAACTATTTAATAATTGAAGTATTAATGGCTGATATTCTAAAACATAATGAATGTCTAAATCTTCACCGAAGTTTACATGAATTTCTCTGTTTTAATAAATTATTTAATAATTGAAGTATTAATGGCTGATCATGTAAAACAATGAAAGTCTGAATGTTCACCCAAGTTTACATGAATTTCTCTGTTTCAATAAACTATTTAATAATTGAAGTATTACTGGCTGATATTCTAAAACGTAATGAATGTCTAAATCTTCACCCAAGTTTACATGAATTTCTCTGTTTTAATAAAGTATTTAATAATTGAAGTATTAATGGCTGATATTCTAAAACATAATGAATGTCTGAATGTTCACCCAGGTTTACATGAATTTCTCTGTTTTAATAAAGTATTTAATAATTGAAGTATTAATGGCTGATCATCTAAAACATAATGAATGTCTAAATGTTCACCCAAGTTTCCATGAATTTCTCTGTCCGTTGACCAAATGTTGGTCATTTGCCCTTTAGAAGTGTAAATCTTGGCAAACATCGAAGTATTATTGTCTTAAGAATAGTTCTCAGTGGTTGTCTGCATTCATTGATATTCAGTATGTATATATGTATGATTTATAAGTAGTACATTAAGGATCAAGAGTTATTTTACAGTAGTTAAGTTAATTTTATAGATTGTGTGTGTACATACATACATTGTGTGTATTTGATTTCATATGAACGTTTTTCATTATATCTTTCTTCCGTTTATTCCCAGGGACCAAACAACCAACCTCCTCCGAACGCTCCAATTCGCTAAAAGCGTACGGACAAAGAGCTGTGTATTAAGAGGAATGACAGTTATTTAATAATTATATATGATGAAATATTTATCTATGGTTGTTGCCTTTCTAAAGCTTATGTTATCTAATCAGCAGAAATTTAAATATAATATAGGAAGAAAAAAAAAACACGAGTGTAAATGGACATTGTATAAACATATTGGATGTTGAGCACGTATGCGGTAAATTAAAAAATATAACTTTTTTTTTGTCAAGTGTTAACATGATAAATGTTAAAACAATGGAAATATTCACAATACGAGTTAAGAATGCTTTTATATCTGTTCAGAAGTTGTTATTTCGTAATGAGTTTGCCTAAATTTAGTATATGTTAATATCTAATTGATCAGCTAAGTGATAAGTAATGATACTTTGAGCATGTTTGGTTTTTGGTTAATACATAATATATCTGCATAAGGAAATCTTTGAATTTATTATAATAACTGCTACATATTTAACAAATCTAAAGTATCGTCTTTTGCAGAGTAAATTTTATTAGTCTAGTCGGTTTGAGAGTATTTGCACATACATACACTTTGTATGAGGTATACTATTTATCCAAAAAATCTAAGGTACGGCATAACTGATTGTGTAGGTTAGCATTTATAATACACACGCACATCTTGCTCAGGATTTCAGTGTGTAGGAGGATGAACGTGTATTCAGTTATACACATATATAATTACACATCTATGTATACACATATATCATTTTTTAGAATCAGAATGTGACATAGATTGATACAAATTATTAATACTACTTTAGGTAAAAAAAATAATTGGAAAAACGCATCTTTAAAAGTTCAAATAAAACACTGCAATTTTGTAAAAGTAGTTCAATCAAAGAGCTGAATCAAATAAATGTTATACGACATAAATAAGGAGATATCTAGCAACAGTAGATATACGATACGTGCACTAGCAGTATATGGATTCTTCTGATAAACTTTGCTTACATAAATTGTATATTCTAACAGTTGAATGGTGTAGCTTATATAAAAAACTATTGTTTTAATACATGAATTATTGAAGTTCATACAGGCTCTTTAATTAAAATTATTATTAAAATGTATATTTCAAGAAATATTTTGCATTTGCAATTTGTTTAAGGGCGGGGCGAAATTTCTCAGAGAACACACTGAATATCATGTTTCGATTGTTGGTTCTCTGAACATTCTGGACACGATCCTTCAAACTAAATATTACATTTATACATTGTTTTTTTTTTACACAGTGGTTCTTCACCGGTAGTTCATTTTTTGAGGAGGGGGATACAGAGGTGGGTAATCTGACAGGCTTTATAATCTCCCGAAATGTTTCTCGGAGTGTACAACCAGCCACATTTATTTTCATTGTTGGGTTGAAGTACAGTAAATCACATATCTACTTTTGTAACATGTAGAAATAAAGTATGTATTCTTCTTAGGGGTAGGGATACGATAATATACATTTGATCTCCTGACGGGTAATATCACAGTGAGCTTCATACATTGTAATGTATTTTTATCTGTCAGGAGCGAGTGGTAATATACGTGCTCTCCTGATTTATAATAATTTAGTAAGGTTTGTATTCTCCTGACTAAATATATCACAGTAACGTACATAATAGTCTGGAAAGTAACTCGTACTTATTCTCCTGACTGGTAATATTGCATTACATCTTGTACATTGTATTTTTATCTCTACGGAAAAAGTGATAAGTTGTATACTCTCTTGACTGATATAAACATCATGTAGTCTCTTGACTGATATAAACATCATGTAGTCTCTTGACTGATATAAACATCATGTAGTCTCTTGACTAAAGATGACACAGTAAGACATATAATCTCCCGACAATAAACAGCATAGTAAAATACATGATCCGTACGTGCTTAGATCGTGATCATTAGCACCTAAATGCTTAAGAAACGCCTTGAAATGCAGGTGTCTTAAGTATTTATGTAAAGTTTATATAATTTTTTTCTATAAAACATTTGTATTGTGATCTTTTGATTGAATGTTTGTATAAATATGATTAATGTGAATCTCTGTATATTTAACAAAATAATTTGCATTTGATACTCCCATGATAAGGAACATTTTCTACACACACATCACTACTGGAATACGTGTAATATATTCTCTCTTGATATATATAAAATGTTCTATAGAAATAGTGTACTATAACTGCTATTTAATGCATAAGTTGTTGCTCATCGTTATTGACATGAAGAGTGTGAACGTATGCTTTCCTTAACTGGTATGGGGTAGTTCACGATTATTGACATTTTCACACGCTGGGGGGGATTAAGGGCCAGCATACGCTTTTGAAAATTAAAAAAATGTCGATTTAAATTTTCATGAGAATTTCTCTCCCTGTGATGCTTGCGTAGTTTCCCCACTTCCCGCAATGCATACAGCATCCTCCCTGATAACAATGGCGAACAACAGTCTGAATAACAAAGACCATGGATGGTGCATAGTCTTATAATAAAAGAAAGGTAGTGAAACATCAGTATTTTCTTTGTACAGTTTTTTTTTGGGGGGGGGGAAGTCTACAAAACGTGTACCACTTGTACACTTGTGAAAAAACGTTGATAATTGTGAACGACCCCCTAACTAAAGGTAGAAAACAAAATGGAACAGAAATTTGTACATCGAGTAGGAAGAAAAACATTGTATGAGGAGATGATGAGGAAGATTCCTGCCAATGTCTAAGGTTTACTACTACTATTTTTTGTTGTAAAACATTGTGAAAAGGAACTTCCTCGGGTTTTTTTTAGTGTTTTAAATGTGTCAGTCCATTTTTAAACATTATTGTTCTAATTCTTCACGTTACTATGTAAATTAAAACATTTTCGGAGGTTTTGAGAAAACAAATTGATGATGCCTCCTTATGAGAACTTTTGTTGATTGAATACATAGTGTTTCAAGAATGGGAACAGGTGTTTAATAATTTAAAACATTTTTTTATTATTTTATTTTGTGTCACAGTTTACGATGTCAACCACATATGGGAATATTTTTCTTTCATGTGTTTGATTTTAATACACATACATACATATATATTATATGTAAATTCAGTATATTTACAAAATATCTTAGTTTTTTTAGTGTATGATAACAATTGTTTTTTTTTGTAAGTTCTCTATTGTTCTCAACTCTTTTGTGATTAAATTGGTTATGGTCAATAGTACGATCTAAAGTTCTTTTGGTCTAATTAAGCCGACTCTTTGTAGTAACTTCTATATGTGATGGTGTTAATGTGTGCTATTGAACATTTCACATCAGCTAGTTTTATTTATATAACTAAGCCTATCAGTTTATTACAAAGTGCGATGATTGATGTTAAGATCCATCCCACATTCAGTTGGCATTTAGGACTTCTCTGTAGGACGAGAAGTAACGGATAGCTGCAGAGGCCAGTTTATTGCATTTTAACGTGTTCCGAATGTAAAGTTCAGTATGACTCGTGATTTAACTTGCTTTGTATAAACTGACAGGGTAATATAATGAGGGGAGGACAGCAGTATGAAGTAGGGGGGGCATCGATTACATACAAATAATTTTGCAGGAGCTAAATACAAAGAGAAGTAATAATGAAGAAATGTTTGTCAATTTGTAATTAAATTTGTTCATTACTTTATACAACATAGGTTAACTATTCTCACATACATATTAATAGTCAATATTCATAGTAGAATACATTATGGTATGTAGTATTGCTAATTTTAGTTTTTTGTAATTAAACAAATAAATAAAATTATGACAGCTGAAGTTTCACAGTACTTTTAGTGAGAAATATTAATTTTTAAAGTTATAACAGACACATTTAAGGAAAGTTAAACATTCACCATGCTGTGGAAGAATCATGACTTGGGTAACTGTTGATATCGCTAGCACATTCTATGGAAGAATCATGACAGGGGTACTGTAGATATCGTTAGCAGATTCTATGGCACAATCGTGACTTGGGTAGCTGTAGATATCGTTAGCAGATTCTATGGAAGAATCATGACAGGGGTACTGTAGATATCGTTAGCAGATTCAATAGAACAATCGTGACTTGGGTAACTGTAGATATCATTAGCAGATTCTATGGAACAATCATGACAGGGGTACTGTAGATATCGTTAGCAGATTCTATGGAACAATCGTGACTTGGGTAACTGTTGATATCGTTAGCAGATTCTATGGAACAGTCGTGACTTGGGTAACTGTTGATATCGTTAGCAGATTCTATGGAACAATCGTGACTTGGGTAAC